TAATTCAAGGCATCGTACTTCAGCGTGCGATTAATAACCTCAGCGTGATTGATTGTTTCCCACACGTATTAATGAGATGTACTACAAAATCACGGCTTTGTTACACTATAGGAAGATAATGCACTTAACCCCTCATTTATAAAGCCAAAGGACAATGAACGACAGCGCAAAGGAAGACACGTTGACGTTGATCAAAATTTGACTTCATTAAATGGGACTTTAACTTCCTCCATGCATCACCATCTCAGCCCAGAGATTGGAAGTCTGGGTGGTCTTTTTCTATCCCTTAAGCCCAGATAAGAACAAGCCAAAACAATAGCAAAAACAAAATGTCCAGAGACATTTCAGGAGGATCGTGTGGATCCACAGATACTGTACTCATAAAGTTAATCCCAAAGTGGTGGACCATGAACTATGTTTTCTTTCTTAGTCTGTGCTGGATTTCCTTTTTCTTTTCAGTAGATTGAGATCTGTCTTGAGGAAACCTCCTCAGTTTTACTGTTAGCTATGTTAGTGAAAACATGGAAACCCCACAGACGTGTTAATAAATGTTTGGGTTAAAACACTTTCTGAAAATTGGATATTTAAATAATACATTGGGAATTGGATGCAACCCAACTATAGTTTGAACATTATATTGAAAAAAAAAAAAAAAAGAAAACACCTCTGACTTTACTGCAGTGTAATGTGTTGATCTGGGGCCGACAGTAAAAGCCAGTCACACTCCAGGGAGCAATAACAGGTTATTGTCACTATCCTCAGAAAACAAGACAGCCATGAGCTGATGACCCACATTTGCTTAGTATTGTAAACACATTGGTGTCATTGATTTCCTGTTCAACCATAGAACTGCAAATAAAACCAAAGCCTACTTCAGTGCTCTGTGTGAGAACATATTCATAGTAAATATTAAAGGTGCTGGATTCTGTTCCTGGGAGGAGCTGTCCAATGTGCTGGTTTCTATTATGGAACAGGCTGTGCCCAAAAAAATACTGCATTATTTTATTTTTAGTTCCTCTCTCTCTCTCTCTCTCTCTCTCTCTCTCTCTCTCTCTCTCTCCACTGCAGACATACTACTGTCTTTCTTTCTTCGTCCTATTCCTCCTACGGACACAGGCTCAGCAACATGACATGAAAATTGGTCACATTAAAAGAGCATTCTACTGAAAATGTTTGTTAAAAAGCATGAAATCCTCCAACTCTATGTGAAGGATAAGAGGCACTAAGCCAGTCTGTGACGTCGCTGTGCTGTACACACAGACCAATTAAGACACAGAGATAGAGATGCAGCTGGGGATGCGAAACACTGCAAGGTCTGTGACAGTGTGCAGAGATTTGTATAAAGAGGGAATAATAATTTCAACAAATTAAGATGTGAAATTTTCATTTAACGGATAAACAAGAAGGAGACGGAATGAGCGAAAGTTGAGAGCGAACCGGAACGGAAAGTGGTTAGAAGTTTGGCCCAATAACTATCAGTCTTCCTGCAGAGGGAAGGCGGGTCATTGAAGAGAATGCTGCTGCTTTTAGAATATATAAGCACAGCTGTCGCCTACAGCTAAAGCAGAACGATTACAGCTTAACTCTGTAACATCTGCCGCTCCCAGGCCGGGCAGAGCCGAGTGCTGGAAAATATGTTAGAGACAGAAATTACAAACAAGGGTTGGAGCAGGGCAGGGGTCCTCTACGCTGTGTCATGGTGCTCATCTATTTGTGTCACGTCATGCGGGGATCTGTGTTGGTGTTGTGCTTAGCAGAAGCTTCAAACCCACATGCACATTCATGCTTATTTCCCTGAAGGGGCTGGTGGAATGAAGGGAGACTCAAGGAGAGAGAGAGAGAGAGAAAGGGAGAAGGAGCAGTAAAACAGAGACAGATGGGGAGAATATCTTGCACCACCGACCTGAGAACTGATGGGACGTGAGCGTGCATGCATGAGTATGTACGTGGATGTGCGTAAGCGTATTTGTGTGCGAAAAACAGCGGTTTGGCCTCATTAGGGGCTTGTTTGGGTAGGACAGAGAAACGCTGCCATGAGAAAGAGGATCAAGGGGGAGTTAAGAGGGAGCTTGAAGTGCAGCGGGGATTGAAGTCAGATTGAAGGCAAGTTTCTGCAAGGACTGCAAAGACAGCGCTTCAAAGTAATGCAAGAGAACCAAATTTAATGGGTGCCTTCATATGGAAGAGATCAGTCTGTTACCGTGACTAAAAGTCTTTTGGGATAGAGGGAGCTGCGAAGATCAATATTTGAAAATAAATTAAGTCCAGCACAGTGAAGGCATAAAATACAGAGTACCACCTGAATGGGTCTGATGTATACATGTAAATGGATGATGCTAGAATGCCAAAAAACATTACATTAAAGCATTAAAGTGACAGAAACTCTTTACCAGAGGAAGACAGCAGAACTGTTTTGTTATACTAGAACAAACTGGTTGGTTGAGACTATAAAAACGAAACAGCAGGGTACTCAAAGACAAACAATTGATGTTTTTTTTTATACAAGCATGGCAGCAAGAGAGAAAAATAATCAAGGACCAAAATTAGGAAAATATATTGATTTTCAAAGCAACGGAGAAATCATTTAAGGCGAGGAAATAGTTTTTTTTAATATTTCATTTGTTCAGTAGAATTGACTATGAAGATAAGTAAGGTATCAATAAAATCTGGCACAATTTTCCGGGGACCATTAACATGAGCCACTCGTTTTCTGCAAAACATTAAAGGAACTGAGTGATGGGCACATCCTCTATTTTTGGCATCTGGTGATTAATAATATGCTGATAGTTGTTCAGTAATGACTTCAATCTTAGTGTAATGCAGGAGCATTAGTCAAGCACTACTTTACACAACCTCACGTGTGCTAGAAAAGGCAGAGGTTTTAGTCCTGCTGCTGGAATAACAAAAAAAAAAAAAAAAAAAAAAAGATGCAGTTTCAACAACAGAAAAACATGTCAAAGTCAGCCTGAGAGTTTTATTTGTGCCAGTGTTTGCTTTCAGCTTCAAGTTTTGTGGGCTTGTCACGAGTTCCTTATTTCACTCTCACATCCCAGAGTGTGCTGCAGACAGAGACACCTCAGGAGCAGGTCAGCTGGCAGTGAAATAGTACATGTTTTTAAATGTCTTATCTCGAGATAGTTCCCGATTTTGTGATGACTTGGCGACTGTACACATTATGATACCTTTTATTGGGAACAAGACTGAGAACTGGAGTCCTGTAATCTTTGTCAGCGAGGCTAAATAGACCGTGAATTAAAAAACCGCAGTGAGAAAAGGAGAAATATGGAGCAGAATTGATGAGGTGTAAAAGAAAATAGGGCTGCGGTGGCTTTGATGTTTTTTGCAGAGCATCGCTGACAGCTATGCTGCAACGGGACTGAGAAATGTTCCCAATATTTAAGATTTAAATGTGAATGTGAATGTAGAGGATCTTTGAGTCTGTGCAGCTGTTATTATGAAGGAAATAAATTACAAAAAAGAAATATTTACAGAGAGCTGTCTATGCTTCGGTGTGTAGGACTTTTAGATTTACATTATTTTGGCCTAGATTTCGTTTCGTCTTATAGGTATAATAAAAACTGTCGCTGATGAACACTCTTCCTTTTCTTTTTTAAACCTTTCGCAACACTGTTTACTCGGGAATTTTATTTAACGTCACCCGTTACCCCCCCCCCCCCCCACCTCTTTTCTGTTTCTTATTGATCCCTCTTTCTTATTATAAAAATGATGAAAAAAGGTCTGGTTCGTATCTCTCTTGAGAGAATTACTAATATCAAAAAGTTAAAAGCTGCTGAAATACCAAGCCAAAAAAGATCCAGCAGGAAATTCACAGTATTCACAGCTTGTATAATTCAACTGCGTTGGTCACAGGGGAGCTCGCCGGCTACTTCGTGGGCCTTTGTGGTCTGGCACTTTAAACTACACTACATTTTAACACCTGCTATTTGCCTTTTGTTACCAAGGCCTGTTTCCATTATAGCAACGACTCTGTCAGCACTCTGCTCCCAGCCGGGTCCAGTCAAGGCCCACCAATCATCTGGTTATATTTAGATTTGGGAGAAAAAGAGAGTAAATGTTTAATTTGGGTCATGTTACCATCTCTGGGAAAGAGGAGCAATCTGTTCCACTTGTGGGAATAAAAATACTAGGAACAAACAGGAACACACGCACATACACTCACACGGTACTTGCAACATGCAGCCGAACTGAAAAATGAATTTGGAAAGGTAATAATTATATATGATATGAGCATGTTACGAATTACTGCATGTAAGTACATTATACAATCAATACACATGTAACAGGCGTTTCATCTAAACAAAAAGAATTAAGGAAAATCTGTTGAGGTTTATTTCCATCATTTCAGAGAGCACTGGTTGTTGCTGTGCCAAAATAGCTGCAGGGTTTGAACAGCTGCCAGCGCTGTTAGTGTATGCTGTGTTTGTATGTGTGTGTGTGTGTGTGCGTTTGAAACAGTGTGGTTCACAGATGTTTAACTTTGCTCATCTTTCTGGACCTGACTGAATCCACCTTATATAACTGTGTAACTGTATTTTTTTTTCACACTCTTCTATTTCTAGCCCCTTTGTCTGATGTAGGTGGGTTTTATCGATGGAAGAAGAATTGTCCTAAAATGTAAGACACATGTAAGGGATGACGATTAGGTGCACGGTCAGAAGAAAAGAGGAGAAATAAATACCATTTACAGAAAGTTTGTGATTACCTGGCATTCAAAAGCCTATTCAATCAGGGACTGAAATCAGTGAGGAATAAGAAAATGTGCCTTTGAAATTAAAAAAAAAAATCCGCTCGGTGCAGGCACAAAGGGGCAATGAGTGGCCTTTTTAACTAAAAACTGAATTGATCTTTTCAGTTTTTGCCATGTGTTTTATAGTTGTCCTTACACTTGCCCGTTGACTGGAGGTTAGCAACAATGAGAAACAGATTCACACATCATAAGAAGTGGTTTATAATAGGGATGTCCGATAGTATCGGCTGACCTGTGGGTCAATCCTTGTAAGGGTCATGGCTGAAGCTTGGACCAATCCCAGCAGTCATCAGGTGAAGCAGTGATCCACTGGACAGTTCATTGGTCACATGGAGACTTCTATAAAAAAATAAATAAATAAAACACAAAAATTTGAGTCCACTCTGAGTTAAGAAGTTTGGTTTTATGTCAGAGTTTGACTCATGGGGAAAAAAACCTCAAGTCCGGTCTGAATCAAGTGTTCAGTGTTTAAAGCCAAACCCTCAGTCATGGCAGAAGTTTAAACTAGAGTGCGGTTTAAATCCCCAAAGTTGTGAGAGTCAGGCTAAGTCACTGAAGCAAAGTTAAAGTTTAATGCCCTGGATAAGAAGTCACTGAAAAAAAATACCAACGTCCAAGATCCAAGATGAGTCTTCAACTTGAATAGTGCAGCGCCGGCCATGTTTGATAAACATGCTTTAAAATGAATTATAACCCATTTAAAACACATTCCACAGGGGCTGAAAGGCGTCCCGAAGAAAAAGAAAAAGTTAATTTTCCCATCAGGTTTCAAACAACACTTCCAAAACTGACTGCTGAGCTGATTTGACCTGACAGCTAAAAGCCTTACAGTTTCAGTCAAATACTTAGATTTACATGCAAAAGTGATTTACTCCACACCTTTGGGCGATGTTAAAAGTTGAATCCGCGATATCACATCAGGCCTGTAATCCTATAAAAACACTAGCAGGGAAGAGGCACCGAAAACCAAACCCTCCAAACCCTTCCAAACCCTCGGAGAAAGAGATTGTTCAGCTGTCACATCCATCAGAGGGTTATTCCATTTCCAAGGATCAACAGTAAGGAATGTAATCACAATGTTAGCGCCCCTACCCTAATGAAAAATAGCTCTTTTCCAATACAGTAATATTGGCTATTTAACGCTTTTGTGCGAGATGCTTTCTCATCATCTTTTAGTCTCCTTTGCCTGAAGCTTCACATTAAATCATTTTCCTATAAAACACACACACACAGACACACACACACACATACAGACACACTCTAATCCCCCTCCATTGTCCCAGACCACATCTCTTTCCATGCAGCCCTCAACAGAAAGTATTTATGCAAAACAGTGCACAGACAGACATTTACACACATCACACTTTCATGCACAGGTGCGCGTGCGCTACCACTTTTGCTCCAATTGCATCTTGGTCGCCAATTGCTAAAATGGTTTTACACGACGTATCACAAACAGCGCATGGTAATTTAAAACGTGCCTGAAATAAAAGCTTTTCCATCAAATGATAATTTTTGCTTTTTTTCTCCTTTTTTTTTTAATTCTCCCTTTTATTGTTAGACACATGCACACTCAATCCACAATCAGACACACTCAAGCACAGCGGCACATCGACAATGACAGACTCCGGGTAGCAGTAATCAAAAAACCTGCCTGAACCGGAAAGGATAAGACAGCTGTGGCAGCACATTACAGAAGTACAGCACACTCATTTGTAAATAGCCTGCAGAGACATATTGAAAAGTGTGAGGTCTGCACAGACACACACGCGGCATGTGCTGTGCAGGTGTGTAGTTTGACCTGAAAAGAGGCAAATATTCATGAATTGAAATATATTTTACAAAAGGCTGAGGGGCTCTGGACCAACTTTCATTTCTCTCTCAGAGCTGAAAACAAGGACATTTATATGAGGAATGATGTTTGGGTGAGCAAAGTTGATTTTCATGTCATGAAATTTCACTTGTAGATGCTTCTAGAAGCTCCTCAGAGGAACACGTACTCTCAAAGAGCAAAACATCGGGGGCATCTTTCAGATTTTAAGCAGCAGTCAATTTTAATTATCATAAGCCTATAACTGAAACCCATCTGTTTCTGTTTATCTGAAATTTGCATGTTCTGTTGAACGTAGTAATTGATTTTTAATAAGGTAACTCCATAAAAGATAATGGTGTTTGCCTGGGTTCACCCCATCGGTGAGCTTGTTGAGATCGTCCTTAATGTGTTTTGCGCGTTTACAGCCACGTAGCAGCTGTGACTTGATAAATACACCAGGATCAGTGTCAGTGTGTCAGCCCTGTACCTTTTTTAGTGCATCACCAGATCACACTCTGGAAATTCGCCCTATTACTGCTGACAAACGTAAGTCATATCTAAATTTCTCCCACACCAAAGCAGACTCAGCTGCTGCAGCCGAATGCTTTTCCTCCTTCATCTTTTTCTCACCGCTGTCAGATGTTACATCTGTGACAAACCTCTCCCGTTGTCATATCTGTCATGTCTCAGCCGTTGACCACACCAGAGTGGTTCCACCACCGTGAGTCACAGCCTTCATCCACAGCCTCGCTCACCGGAAAAAGGCGAAGGAATAACAAGAAAAAGGCAAATTCAGCTTTAACATGGCCATGTCCTACTTCTTAGGCAGTCGCTGTCACACACACCCTTAAGCTGTCGAATAAGCACAGTCCCCTTCTCCCAGAGATGTTGAGCATTCGACGCCTGAAAACATACCGTCCATTTACTGACATTAGCGGATCCACCTTTTAGAACAACAACAACAAAAAAAAAACAAGGCTGGAAAAACAGAAAAAAAATGTCATATGCTTTTTGTTTCCAGCGTGTCCATGGGAATAGAAATGATTTGAAGGAAAAGGTCAAGTGCACTCCAAAGGCAGAGGCCTGTGTGTGCGTGCGTCCCGCTGTTTGTTAAAACACTGTCACTGATTCTCCACCGAGCAGTGCCAACATTGGGCTGTGAAACAGTAATAAAGGAATGTGAAATGTTGAAAACTGAGATTTTTTTTTAAATTAAAGTTTAAACTGACACCAACTGACCGTGAATTACAGATAAAATTATCTGTCCATGAAGCAAAACAACAAAACTGTCAGGAAGATCGCTGCAGATCAAGGATAATATTGACTGTTGAATCTGCAGGAGACGCAGAAAACTGTTCTCAAAACAATACTACAGGTACTACACAGGGGAGCTGCATTGGTCACTACAGTTCATCCTGCCATGAAACAGCATTGGAAATTAATAAACAAATCCCACCAGGGAGTGAAGTTAAATCCATTACATCTTTGTCCTGTTCCCAACGACACAGGCTCACAATGTTGTCAAAAAGCAAAAATGTACAACGAAAGTGAACCTGTCTGTAAAGAGGGTTTGTGGTAAAAGTGGAGGAAAGCTCCTGCTTTACCAGGATTCACTGCTCCCACAGATTCTTTCAGGGTTTAGCAGACACTCCGACGCTTCAATGTGAACCAGGATATTTTTGCAATATTTTAAAAAAGCAAAAAGAGTCTCAAAGAACTAGTTGTGTCAGAACTGATTGAGTCTGGTATCTGGGGGCCACAGTGCATAGCAGTTTTTTATCAGCAGCAGTCAGAGCAAGTTTGGAGGCTGATGCTCGGATGAATAACACCATCAATCTGCATTAACCCCAGTCTACGGCATAAACTTTCACATTAAAGTCTGCATACGGCCGTCTTCTTATAGTCTGTAGAAATACTCCATTGACCGATCAATGCTCGACTCGAATGTCGATGAGTTTAGAAAACGCACAGACCGTATATATATATATATATATAAAATACTTTACTGTGTGTGAAAACGCCTACATACACAAGTGCACAAAAGGTTAAGGTTTTATGCGTTTAATGTCAAATTCTTCCCTTGCATTTTATTCCTTAGACCTTCTGAATACACAATATGTTTGGATTTTTTCACTTTTCTTGGGTTACGTCAGTGAAAATGCTGGATTTTTTTTAAAACTGCGACCATTGCTGTTAGTGAGAAATCACAATTTAGTCAAATAATGGCTACAATTATTGCATTATAACTAGAGACAGCAAATGTGTCCAGAATATAAAATGCCCAGTGGATAACTTACACCCCGATAACGTGATGGATTTAATATTCTAGCATTTAATATTATATATAATTACTTTTAATTATAACTTATATTTGACTATATTATCTAACATTGATTACCTTTTTGAAATGATAATTATGATCAACTAACTATTACCATGTCATAATAACAGCCTATTGTGACATTTAAAGGCAGATGCCTTTCAACCTAATGAGTTTTGAGCTGTTTAAACCATGGTTTCCACAACAAACATATGATTGTGCTTATAAATATAAATCACATTTTTATTATTAATTTTAATTTTAAAGTTAATGTGTTATTGATTATAATAAAATCTTAATTTATGTGTACTACTGTAGTGTACTGTGCTGTATTCGTCTGCACAGTAAACCCATAAATCAGTTGCTCACTGGCTGTACTGGTTTTTTTTTTAAAGTAGCTGTTGCATAAATATTACCTGCAGCACAGATCTCTCCAAGTAAACCAGGAATGAAACATTAAACATTATGGATTACAACTGTGAGAAGAAAAAAATGCCTTTAACTTTTAAATAAATGTCACAGTTTCTGTTCTTTTCTTTTTTTTTCTACCATTTTACCATTTCTCTGCTTCATGGGGTGCAGGTAGATGAGAGACAGACAGAAAAAAAAAGGACAACATTTAGCGCGTTGAAAAAAAAAAAAATCAGACACTGAGAGCCTTGAGCTCCACTTGGCAAGGTTTTCCCTGAAACTGCAGAAGCTGTTTTTGTACATCACAAATACCTTTCAATTTTCCTTCAAAGTTTTGTTCCGACAGATGGATGAAATATTTAGCAGTTGAGGAGCATACAGGAATGCATTCACAGTTGGAATAAAAAAAGAAAAAAAATCTCTCTCTCTCAATATATATAAATATATATATAAATATTTGCAGACGATGTCAAAGTACGTCAACCAGGCACCTCATCAGCATCCCACAGTACTCTGCTAAAAGACCACTGCTGTTTGTGCAGATAAGTGGCATGACATCGGGCCCCCCAAGTGCACATGGCTTTAAGGCAGAGGCACAGTTCTTTTCCTTTGCTGCAGTGCAGCTGAAATAGTTCTAAAATTTCAGTAAGTGGCCCGGTGGTAGCTGAGACTCCAGAACACTTTGTGAACACTTACAGAGAGCTTGCCACAACTTCTAAACAAGAGGTTTGAGCAGCCCAGCTTGATGGAAGAGTAAAAAGAAAAACTACACTGCTTATTCTGTACATAAATTAC